ACCACATATTTCACCCCAAAATAACCTTTACCGCAAATTATATCAATGTATAGTTTTAGTATGTTGTTAGTACAAGTCTATATTATAATTTGCACTAAAAAAACCTTGTGTTGCAATTAGTTGCAGGTTGAGCGATTTTAGAGCTAAATTGACTAGGCTACAGCTGGTAATTACGAAGTCACAGCCATGCATTACGAAATCCTAGCCATGTATTATTAATGAAAAACGGGGCATTTATACAGGGCTATTATGGATTCAATCAAAATGGTCTATATTTCTTAAAATAAGTGATATACGTTTATTAAGTTTCTGAGAGTTGAAAATCAATATGCACTTATTCTATATGTGTAATAACAATCGTATTAAAATGCATTATGATTTTTAAAAATGATAAATCGGAAATATTCCACAACCTTTCCGAGTTCTGTTTCAGTTGATCATCCCTACGTCATTTCCTTTCATAAAAAAACGCATGATGAAAACAAAGTCGACAAATGCAGACGTTACAAATGAGAATGTCAGAATGTTTGATATATTCTCCCCAAGTACTCTATTTCTGCTAAATACATTGAATAGAAATAGCATTTATGTTGTACTTTGATTGAAAATAAAATATCTCGTCAGTTTTGACATTCAAAGAAGCGTGGAAGGATAAGCTCAAGTAAAATTTTAAGTATCCTGATATTTTTTAACGGTAAGTTCAATATTTAATAAAAGTGTTATGAACTGCTTGTTTCTGTATTGTACATGTCCTAACTATATTTTTTTAATGAAGTTGATTAATAAAAGTATCAATATATAGCCTTTTCTATATTGGCCCTGTAACATGCCTTTGGTATTTTAATAATGGCCTCGGAAGGCTGCAATGGCCCTCGGCGGTGCATCAAGCCATTACAACAATCCTTGGCCATTATTATTACCTCGGGGCAATATGGAAATGGCCATACATTAATACTATAATGTTGTAATATATTATATTATATTATATTATATTATATGTCCTGTCCTTGCGTGTCTTTTTTTTTTTTTTTGTTAATTTGATTTGATATTATATTTTTATCTGCAATCTAGTATCCATCTATAACTAAACAATTAAAACAAATCACAATAGATTTGAGATTCGAAACTGGATATTCAAACTTTAAATTGTATATAATTTTGAGTAAAGTGTGTTAATAAGATCTTATAAAGATATCTGAACATGTAATGGCTTTCTTTATTTACATTTGAAGGTGCGGTCATTTGTAATTAATTACTAGCTGTAGGGAATGATTAAAAAGAATCAATACCACATTTTACCATTACACCATCTTTCTTAGATCAGCAGTACATAGTTCACTTATTTTGATTGGACCACAAGAATACATTATACTGTTCTATAAACTTATGTGTATCTCAGGCAGTACACAAGGCTGCCAATCTTAATTTAGATGGATTACTGGTGATTTTCCAAACTTAGGCATATTGATAAAGACGTACTCAAGTTTACATTAGTACACCTGTATCTCTGTAGCAAGCATCATATTAGGTTTTGATAGTCCCTTTTACTTCAGTCATGCTTAGACTTTTTTTGTATATTATAATCTTTAAGTATGTATTCTTCTGACGTTACAGTCCCGTTGAAATCTTGTTCTGGAATTATTTCCAAAACATGTGATACAAGTGGAAAATATCAATGAATTTAAAAAACGTTATAATCAAACTTAACTCTGTGAAAAAATTGCGTATTTACAATGAGTAGTTTTTGAGTAATCAATTTTTCAAATTTTATTACCAATCAAGTCAGTCTTCTTAGCCAACATTTTGAGAAAATGGGTGAGGGGTACAAGAAATTATTTTACCAGAAACATGTACATCCCATATCACTTTTTTCTTTTCCAATTTCTTAGATATGTATTTTTTCAATCATTTATAACAAAGAAGTTGAAATAATATGCATTTTGTTCTTAAAACAGAGAAAAATCACATATTTACAAAATTGACAGCATGGTTAATTTGACACAAAAAAGCATCAAAATATGATAAAACTTTCTTATATTACCACCTACCTATAGTTTTTTTTAAGCTAAATTATCACGGAAGTTGAAATGTATACCTCAAATATACATATAATGTTAGTTGCACATTTGACGATTATTCGATAAAAGATTGTGTTACCTGAGTATGTTTAAGAAATAATTCATGGCAGCCGTAGATTTGTTTTCATTTAACCATGGGTTGGGCATTTATATTCGATTATTTTACCCTGAGCGTTAGCGAGGGGTAAAATACGAATACAAATGCCAAACCCATGGTTAAATGAAAACAAATCTACGGCTGCCATGAATTATTTCGATTCTAATTGGACAAATTCGGTAATTTTGTTAACCGTGAAAGCCCTATAAATATGATACTGTTTTGGCTGTTCCGTTTTACCCAATTTTGATAATATTAGTAATATTATATAATTAAATGATTATTTTTTTTAATCGCATTTTTCACTTTTATATTTTCTTCCAATGTAATTTTATTCGTTCTGAGGCGTACAAGAAGCTTTAAAACGTCTGGTATTTACATTTGATTTTTTGTTTACGGAAACATATTTGTGACGTCACCTTGTTTCGTTGCCATGTCAAGACAATAACATCATTTCGCGGAATTTTCGTTTTATGAAATTTTACCACGAAAAATAAATTAAAATGGACTGATTTGTTTTTTTTTGCTGTAGAATAGAGATAAATATATTTCATCTGAAGCTTGGCCTTCGTAAACTGGGGATTTTGATGTCGAAAATTGAGAATATCTGGCAGTATAAATAAGTTGGTCGTAACGCGGAACAGCCGTTTATGTGTATTACTGCGTTTGCGCTAAAGGTAGATATATTGTAATTATACTGGTTGACGATAATAGGTCCTCATATTAAAATATCTGATTAACGGATTCTTTGTCTTCCAATGACAGTGGGGAATTTGATAACTGATATTTTTTTCAATTTTATTTTTAAATAAAACCAATTTAATTAATTATGAAACATTATACGAATGCATTACTTATGTCGCTTTTATTTATCTATTGAACATTATCCTGTCTAATCGTTATATAAGTAATGGAAAGTCAGTGTTTAGTTCTATTAAATATATCTATGCTTTAAATATCTACCGGTATTTAAGTTTTTGTTAAAGTAAATTTATGTCGTTTAAATGAAATGCAAAAACTTTATTTCAAATGTGATTATATTACAAAGTCGACCTTCTGTTCTGTTAAATCCTTTAAGTTGCACTTCTGTAAATATAGACAATGCAATGCAATTTCCCATATGAACTCCTTTTACGGCTTGAAATGTATCTATTTTACTGTGAAGTTTCGTAAAAAATATCCTTGAATGGAAACTTCAAAGGTCAAAACAAAGGATTGCGCAGCATATTTTCAACGTTTATATTATGCCTTTAACTTTTAAGAGTTTTAACTTATACTAAAATTCTGTCCTACCACTCCCTTCTATTTGAGACTTCCTGTGAATTCAATTTGTCCGCTATCCAACGGTATTTATACTGGTAAAATTCTCAAGTTGTGTCTCTATGAGATGAAACATGGAGATCATATCTGGGAACAAGAAGGTAAACAAAACAAAATATCTGTGAATATTAAATATCTCTCAAAAAGAGGCGTGGTTTGTGAATCAGCTGTATTTACAAAGTGCAACCTTTAGTTCTAATCATAGTATAACATAAACATGTACTTCATGTAGTAACAACAACACCAACGGTACCAATTTTACTGTACCAGATGCGGATTGATGATCGAGGCCAAAATAGTTAAAAAATCCAAAACTTATTAAAGAAAAATGAAAACTTATAAACCAAAAATGATTAAAAGTATATCCAAAGCCGAGCAAGGAATTAAAGTTTTGCATGAGCGTTGGAAATAATTGTCTTTTATACACTGATCGGTCATATCCCAAAGTCTGAATGTTCAGTTTATATTCGGTCAATTGTACTTTTAGAAGATGACTGTTTGGTCTGTTAATCGCCATATGGAACGCAATTCCATACAGTGTTTGTTAAATATTGCCCCTTAATCGGATTAATATGAAAATATGAGACAACTATCTACAGAAGACCAAATAACGTAGATGTAAGCAATTATAGGTATTCAACAGTGAACCCATACCGTATAGTAAGCTAAAAGAATGTTAGATTACAACAACAAATTACTAGTAAGTTAAACTCCATAAAATGTTTTCGAAGTAATTTAGCATTCTCCTTGATTTCATCAATTTGTTGTAGTAACTTTTTTTTAATTTGTTATTTTCTTTTATTTATCCTTCTCTATATATTGAGGCTTTGCATCCATACCTTAAACACTTCTTTCGAGTTATATAAAATCATTTTGAAGAGTGTTTGGTTCTTTGTGTGAGGTTTCATACTTCACATCAGCTTTTACCTCATTTATCAGACTTGTCAAGTCTTCAATTTCTCAATTTGTTCTTGTGGTGTCATGTTTAGAAAACCGCTTCGGTCGGATGAAATTTTTAAAGTGTTGTTTTCAATTTTTAAATTAGAAACAATCCAAAGATACTTTCAATTTAATTTATAAAAGGTACACCATTGAATGCACTGGGTACTGCACTACATGTGTACGTAATTTTCTATTTTGCTGGTTAACGTCTACCAGTATTTTGAATTTTAAGCTACACTGAGTACCACGTTTGATACCACAGATACTTTGATTCTTTTAATATAAAAGACAAATGAATAGTTACTTAATCATTCGTTTTGTAATATTCCGTGGTGTCGGTACATGCATATGGCCTTTTTTGGAATAAAATCAAAGAATCAACTCTACAACTTTGAAGACTCTATTCCCCCACAAACTCTAAAATATATCCAAATTTATTGTTAAAAAGTTTTGTTCATGGACGCAATAATTACACACCTCCTTTCGTGTATTGACAGAATATGGTGAAATTTTGTGTTAATAAAATCAATTGTTTAATAATAATTATAGCTGCTCATTTCCAGATTACTATGGGTTGCGTGGAATGCACGTAATTGAACAATATACAGAAACGTCAGAATACCGACAATTATGTCAACATATGAAAACAAACAATGCAGTTATTTTGAAAGGTATGTAATCCAAACTTTACGCATTTTGAGGAATTCAATTGATATCTGAAATGAAACTTATCAAGCAGGAATTACATATTTATCAAGAATGGAATCGACCATCTGATGAAACCGTGAATTATTTCAAATACTTATTAAATGCTGGTTTTTTAGTTTTATTTTTTATTTTCCTTTATTCTCATATCATTGATGACAAAAAGTGATATAAGTCTTCGTGTCACCTGTTTAAGATGTTTTGTGCTGATCGAATTATTCAACGAAATCGGTCTTCTTCCTTACACCGCTTGTTTCACTTTTCAGCTGACATTCTGTTCAGTACCTAACATGAATAGAATATGTGTATTCAATCTCAAAATGATTATTTGACCAATCGAACTGCTAGCTGCGAAATATGATTCAATATCCAGTATATGTTTGAACCAGTTCCAAAATGAAATTAAATATTATTTTTTTCATGTTCAGTTTTTCAGATTATTGAAGTACTTAGTAAATTAAGTAAAGTCTAGACACCTCACTCGCTGTTATCTAATATATGTCAAAAGATGGCGAAGGATACCAAAGGCACATTCAAACTCATAAGTCGAAAATAAACTGACAACGCCATGGCTTAAAGAGAAAAAGACACACAGACAAAGAACAGTACACAAAACAACATAGAAAACCAAAGACTAAGTCTTATTTAGATTGTTGATGTTACTTATCACCGGACTATTTTTGCTTGAGTAACACGATTATATATATACCAGGCTAACAATTATGTACGCCAGACGCGCGTTTCTTTTACAAAAGACTCACCAGTGACGCGCAAATCAAAACAGTTAAAAGGCCAGATAAAGTACGAAATTGAAGAATATTCATGACCCAAAATTCCGAAAGGTTTTTGCAAATACTAATGTTGTGTTACTGTTGTTTGTCTTTTCGGCGATTTTTATTTTTGGCCTTGGTGTTATTTGTTTGAATTGAAATTTTGATTCGATTGTCCCTTGGTATTTTTTCTGTTTTTTATTAACCAATGCAAAATACGAGGAGTCTTAAACTGACTGAATAGGGACTGGGTTGACTGCAACCGAAATGCCTTAAGCGTTTTGTATACGCCATGTCAATGTCTGGAAAAAAACTTAACAAGACCACACATTTACGTTCAGAAATTTCAGATATTTTACATATCAAAAGACTATTTAAGAAAGAAGATTCGTTTTCTAGTGTTTGCGACAACCAAAATTATATCGACACAAACATAACAGACAAATATGTCTAATAACATAACTACGTGAAGGAGTTTCAAAAAGATTGAGTAAAAATACGACAATTTTATAAACTGAAAATTTACAAATGAATCAATCAAAAGGTGCAAATGCCGACAAAATTGCTACTAGTTATTGCATAACCAGAAGTATCATAAGATTTGTATTTAAAAATTATCAAATTTATTAGGATAAAAATGTTATTTATCAAATACATACTTTTGGAGATCTCAGAATAATAACAAAGTTTACAGAAATCTAAATATTTTTTTTTATACGCCCGTCAAATTTTTGACGGGACGTATTATGGTATACAAATGTCTGGCGTCCGTCCGTTTGTCCGTCTGTCCGTCTGTCTGTCCGGCGTAAACATGTCGCACCGTAACTTGAGAATAACTTATTCAAATTTCATGAAACTTAATATAGTTGTTTCTTATGATGGTCAAACGATCTGTATACTTTTTGGTGAAAATAAGATTAAAACTTTTTGAGTTACGGGACTTAGTAACTAAAACAGGTGTGTGTTTTTTTTCACATGTCGCGCCGTATTTCAAAAACAATTTATGATTATTGCTTAAAACTTTACACACTTCTTAGTTATATTAATCTTAAGATCTGTATACTTTTTGGTGATGATTCAAATTTTATTTTAGAGATATTGAGTATTTTGTTAAAAAAGGGGGAGGGGTTTTTCACATGTCGCGCCGTATCTCAAAAAACAGTTTATGATTATTGCTTAAAACTTTACACACTTCTTAGTTATATTAACCTTAAGATCTGTATACTTTTTGGTGATGATTCAAAATTTTATTTTTGAGTTATTGAGTATTTTGTAAAAAAAGGGGGAGGGGTTTTTCACATGTCGCGCCGTATCTCAAAAACGATTTATGATTATTGCCTAAAATTTTACACACTTCTTAGTTATATTAATCTAAAGATCTGTATACTTTTTGGTTTTGATTCAAAATTTTATTTTTGAGATATTGATTTTTTTTTTAAGGGGGGGTTTTCACATGTCGCGCCGTATCTCAAAAACGATTTATGATTATTGCTTAAAATTTTACACACTTCTTAGTTATATTAATCTTAAGATCTGTATACTTTTTGGTTTTGATTCAAAATTTAATTTTAGAGATATTGAGTTTTTTGTAAAAAAAAAAAAGGGGGGTTTTCGCATGTCACGCCGTATGTGAGAAACTATTTATGCTTATTGCATAAAAATTCACACACAAGACGATGGGCGTATCATGCGCTCATGGCACAGCTGTTTATCAATAAAATCCTGGGCATTTAGGCAAAGATGTGGTCTGTTGCGGAAAATCATACTTACAATATTGTTTAATTTTCAGATCTTTCCACACATATTTTTTTTATAATTTACAGGTCTACCTGGAACTTGGAAGTCGCGGCATGCATTTAGATATGCACACGAATTTTCCAAAATGAGGGAAAAGGACAATAATTCATTAATTTGGAGGGTAGATTGTAATACTGAGTTAAATATCTATAATTCTCTTTCCCATTTAATGAACTACCTAAAGATACAATACATCAACTCAGAACTGCAGATAAAAGATACGATTAACATTATGTTATTGCGCGCAGTTGCGGTATTGGAAAGCGATAATTACAAGGACACAAAACATCTTTTCATTCTGCTTGGTTTTATATCCCCACAGAAAATCTTAATAAAAACGTTCCTGGAGAAGCTGAATCAGTATGAAAACATATCCATTATTGTAGCTACGAGTGAGTCTATATCCAATGACTTCGACAACATTGTTCTTGAACTTCATGGAATGACAGAAAATGAGGCTGTAAAATATTTAGACGTTGATGATTCGTTAGATGAGAAAGCAAAAGAATTGGCAAAAAGATTGAGCTATTTGCCAGATGGTCTTGCATTTGCCAAAACGTATATAGACACAACGAGAATAAGCATAGACAGTTATCTTGAAAGTCTTGAAAACAAAACCAACATTGACGATTCTGAATCCAAAAAGGCTTGTAACATGCTGATTTTACAAGCGGAAAAGAACATGTCGGCGGACGAAAAAACGATTCTTCACCTGATGTCATATTTGAACACAGATAATATACCTCTCCTCATTCTTAAATCTCTTTTGCCCAAAACATTAAATAAAGATGAAAAGGCAATAATAACAGACAATTTCCTTCGAACCTTAGAAAAATATTCTCTGGTTGTTATTAAGGGCAACGATGAGCAGCGAGTAATAACTGCTCATGGATTTACTTTCATGGTAGTGAAAGCATCAAAAACCTGTGCCGAAAGAAATTGTCATCTAAAGAAACTTCTGAATTTCTTCATGTGTTTTATAGATCTAGATGCAAGATTGTTAGAAGTTATTCACAGAAACGTTCTTTTATTAGAACATGCAGAGGTCTTTTTATCACATTTTGAAGGTGATTTCCCGTCTTTGTTATATGAAACGAAAGCAAAACTTTGCTATATATATTGTGCAGTAGGAATCACATACAGATTGTATGGAAATACTGAATTGTCCGCTAATACTTACCTCGAAAAGGCAAAACATACTATGTATGAAACATTCTTAAGTGGTCAGCATCACCAGTTCTCAGATATCAAGACTGAAGATCCTTATAACACAATGAATGATTATCTCAATGGAAACGGGGGTACTTCAAGAGCACTGTAAAATCATCTTCAGCATACTGGTTGAAAAGGGAAAAAAGCTCCCTCATGAATTCGTTGACGCATTCATCGAAAACAAATATAGAAACTCAAGGATCATTGATCTTTTTGGAAAGTATGGCCACCTTTGTACCAACGATTTGCGAACTAATCAACTAACGACTGAGAAAGTCAGCACCCTAAGAAGTAAAAACTTGATCATGGAGAGTGAATATATTACAGAAACATTTTTAGTCGAACTTATGATTAGGATTCTCTATAATTCTAGTAAGAACAAATGGCTGATGGAAATTTCCAAAGACAGCTTCTCAAAACCGGAAACGGGAAAACTACGTCATAGACTTTCCAGCACATTTTTTCCTGTTACTACAGAAAGCTTAATGGAACATCAGCTAGCACACTGTCTTACACAGTTATTACAGCAACATCTAAGTACTTTACATACGCGGAACACTGGAATTACGTCCACAAAAGATACCGTCAGATCATTTTGTCCTGTTTTCAGTCCAGTTACACATCGTAGTGGTGTATTGTATATGTTGAGATCCTTTTCCGATCCCAATCTTTTAGCATCATTACTTAAAGAAGCCATAGATATATTGGATGGCCTTGATTCTGATATAGAAGGCATAGGTTTTACTGAGTTTGGGGTTGTAAAACGTTTTGGAGATTCAAGTCTCTTTCATTCCGTAATGATTGATAGGATCAAAATGGAATGTTATGAAAAACTATTTAAAGTAGAATGTCCGGGCACACCTTTGAAGGACGGTACAAAGAAGAGAATAATCGTCGAAGAGACTGGCATTTCAAAAGATGAAAGTATTGAAGAGGGTAAAGGCTTATGTAAAATGGATTTACCTAACACCAACGGGGCCATGAAAAGGGAGAACTTGAAGAGGCAAAATACACCAGCCAATGGAATTGCTCTTCAAAATCAAAACTTAATGAAAGCGTTGTCAATTGCAAATGAGTTAGAAAAGAACATTGACGACCTAACATCGTGGAAAGCCCTATCAGGAATCCATTTGAAGATTGCTAAAGTGTTTAAACTAACAGAAACAGAGGAGAACATTAGGAAAGCGAAACACCATTATAGAAAGGCGTACGACCGGGAATATGAAAGCAATAACACAAGACTAACCCGTTTTCATTTAAAGGCAATCGTCCATTACGCTGAGTGTTGTATTCAGTATCCAAATGAGGAAGACTTACGTATTGCAAAGCAGTTGTCGAAGGCAATGCAACATCGATTTAGATTGGTTAAAACTGGTACTCTTTTTGACGAGGTGATAGGAGATATTGATAGCTGTTTGGTAAGTTTAAGATACCATTTTCAACTCAATACTTTGATCCAGTACGAAGCACATGACACGATCAAAACGCGCATACGCTAAATATTTCAAGCATAGTAAAGTTGAATGAAATTCTTCCAGTAAATTTGTGATGAAAATCAAATCAGCTGACACCTTATCAATATCAAATAATGTTTTTAAAAACATTTCAGTTGATATTAAAAAAAACGTACCGTTCATGTATATTGGTTTTTTTTTTTTTTTTTGTCGATTTATATTATTTCGCTCATTGATAAGAACACATAAACAAATACTGTAACATAATCCGATATAAAAAGAACTTTAACTTCATTATCAGAAACAAATAAATATACATTGTGTACATAAATCGGAATACAGTCGATTGGTAGAAAATATTTGTATATAATGTGGATTGCATAATTGTAAATTAATGACATTTTTTGTGATGGTAAAAGAGAACATTAATAAAACTACATTATGTAATAACAGTGAAAAATATCCTTTCAAAGATAATTTTTTTTAATTAATTTTTATCTTAAAAAGCTCCAATTGTTGACGTTTTGTCAACAGTCAAAAGTTTATCATCATTACCATTTACATGTATGAACATTAACTGATTTTGGTTTTGTTCACAGATTTGCTAAGACGTTTCAGTTGTAACGAAAAGTATAGATCTTTTAAATAAGAAGATGACCTATGGTCTGACGATCAACAAACAAGACTGACTTAATTACATTTCATTTAATCGTTCGTTAGAAAAGTGTTCACATATTTATGTATACCCGATACTGCCAGTAGTTTAAAATAAATATTTCTCTGGAATTTGCAGGGAAATATACACATTTGCTAACCGCTGCATACAGAGCGAACAAAATCCGATATTTGTGTGCACAAGTTGGTTCGAGATCATAAGTTTGGAAAAGCTGGAATATAAAACGTTGGAGAGCATAACAGCATAGTCCCTAAACAGAAAAGCACAAAACCGATTATTGTTTACTTTAACTTTTTTCCAATAGTGAAAAAGGTTATAGATAGACTCTTTGTTAATGTAGTTTATAATATTAAGCTAATATATACATTGAAATCGTATCAGCATTGTGGAGGAAAGTACATAACACAAATTATAAAAATTAAAACGTGTCAGCTATACAAAAAAACGTATACAATAGTTACTCCAAATGTTAATATTTCTGTGATGTTTCAATAATTATGAAAAATCGGATGAATTTGTGAATTTATATTTAAAAAATTTCACCATATCATCTGAATGAAAAATTTCCTGTAATTGCATCTAGGAAGTCAAAGAACGCGTTATGGTGCGGGATTTCATATAAGTAGGGAAATTTGTATGCGTTTGAAACTAAGGCTTGTCAAATTTCATATAAGTATCGAACAACATTTATAAATGTAAGATTTTTATTTTCAGAGATACAATTACTTTCGAATTTTGAAATAGATCTATTAACGTTAAAAGCGACCTGAAATATGTTTTTCACATGAATTGGCTTTGTTTTGGTGTGCAAATCATTTAAGATTGAGCCATATATCCAACAAACATACGCGACAAACATACATTCCTAGATGAAAGCCGTACGATGACCTTTAGTTGATTAATTCTACGTCATTTGGTTTCTCATTGGCAATTATACAAAATTTTTTAAAAACTTTTTAATGAAAATCTACGGCCTTGCGACGTCCCGACGTTACACTTATTTGGTTCTTTTGACGCTTTTGCCGTCTATACATTTCTAAGCTCACTAATTTCTACTGAACATTGAATTTCATATTATCAAACGGAAATGTTCATAAAAATAACAAGTTATGCTTAACATAGTGATTAGAACGGGTGTTTTTTTTTCAGGAATAACTGTTACAGTTGAATATGAAAAAGCATTTCACTGGCGATTCCTATGTGAACTCAATTAAATCATAGATGTATTCAACACATTTTAACTGATTGTATCTTTGAGGTAGAAATGATATTCACATGGCGTTTATCAAGTTCTAATTGCATACGAAATGTCATGGATATCCGGAATTGCCATTTGTATCTTGAATTCAGCTGTAATAAAAAAATGCACGCAATAATTCTGAATTTATTGTATCTTTATTAAATTATTACTACTGATTGAATTATTTCCATTTGATAGAAGAAACTTTCTGAGAAAAGGCAATCAGTTGGTTCCTCTACATCAAAAGAATTTGATACCAAATCAATCCAGACCGACACTTTTGTGTATGTATACGATTTTGTTTGAAATGTCATGTTAAGAGCAATTCAGATCACAAGAAAACAATATAACAAGGCGTACATGTAACATGTGTAATGCATGAAGTTTATATATATGTCTAAATGACTCCGATGAAACGTTGATTTTTTTTTTATTTCACTTTTGTTTAGCTTTCATTTTTGTTGATAACTTTTGGTAAAACATTTAATGATAATAACTACTTCAAAAGAAAATGTTTAATAGAGGAAAGTACACAATCACTTAATTAACTTTTACATAATGTTTACTGAAAATGTTATCACACGGTGCATTTGTAATAGGACGATGACACGTGGTTAAAAAAAGTCTCCCTTTTATCAAAAATATGTATGCGAGATTCGTCAGAAAAAAAGGTATGTCGCTTAAGGTTTTTTCCTATAATATAGCATTTGATACTGTCATTTCGTTGAATTTAATGTTGATAGCAGGAACAACTTATATTTGGTTTACGGTTCAAAGTATTAAGGTGGTACCTAACACTACAGGGAGATAACTCTGTAAAAATCAGCTAAACGTTTTAATTACGTTGTATTGTTAAGGAAATATTAAGCTTCTCAATGATCAAAATTATTGTTTGTCGAACTGTTATATAACCAATGAAATTTTTCTGATAAAGTGGTTGGTTCAAATTTTTTGAAATTTTTATATTTTTGTCAAAGGGTCAAAGTAAACATTTTGTCCAAATTTTATGAAAATTAAACGAGCCAAATTGATATTAGTCAAGGTGTTGGGTACCACCTTAAATGTTTTTTTTTTATTGTTGGGTTATTCTGTTCCAGTAAGTTGTCATGCAATATGATGTTAACTTATAGTGTATTTGTGTTACAGTGGTGATGAAAAATGGTTGTTGAAAGAATTAAAACGAAAAAAAGATCGGCTCAAGAAGCGTCGAAGAACACTTCGTGAGGATTACAACGAATTGAAAGGCGACATAGACAGTCTTGATTTGGAAATAGACTCAGTAGAAAAAAAGATAGCTGACATCGAAATCCAATAACGAAAGTCACAGATTAAGAACTCGAGCGGCAAATTATGACATATTTCTGCTTTTGTATGTGTTCTGTCGTATTGAATTGTACATGTACAATACATTAAAGCAAAATGACAGAGTAAAGGAACATCCATGCAATAAATCGCATGTTGAGTGAATTGTTCATTTATTACCGTCCATATTTGCTAAGGACGTTCCTGAAATATCAAATAAATAGATTAATCGTATGTAGAAAATTTAGTTGCATGAGTATTTTTAAATACGCCGTAGGGAAAATGTGTTCCGAACCATTGGAAGTTTGAACACATTTTAATAGGTAATCATTTTGTGGTAAAAATGCGTACATAGGAAAAATTGCACCATATGTTTTCATATGTTTAACATATGTTTTTCATATGTTTGAAAACATATGTAAACATATGTTTAGGCCCGACATGAAAACATATGTTTTCGAACATATGAAAAACATATGTTTTTAAAATCATATGAAAAACATATGTTTTTCATACATGTAAACATATGAAAAACATATGTTTTTCATATGTTTTTTACAAACATATGTTTTTCATATGTTTTCATACCTGGCCTAAACATATGTTTTCATATGTTTGTCCTAAACATATGTTTTCATATGTTTGGCCCAAACATATGTTTTCATATGATTTTATCTTGGTCCTAAATATATATTTTTTATATGTTTTTAATTGCTCAAATGGATTTATTTTCTAATAGATTCTAAACATGGTTTTATATATATATGTATTTTTTTTGCGATAGGTTTTTAAGGGTAACGTTTTGATGTTTTTTAATATGTTTTTCTTTAATTTGTTATCTTTTTTTTCTGTCAAGAACTCATTTTGAGTGTAAATACTTCATTGTGATGAGTTGTTGCTTTAAAAAGTAAAAAACCCAAAATACCAAACTCCACAGAAAATACATGGCGAAATCAAAAGCTCAAACAAATAAAAAACAATAAGTGCTCCATAATTTTTATATAAAGTAGTTTTTTTTTTTATTAAGTTGTTGTCTCTTCTATTTTCATATTTTTGTCTCTTTGACATACATTGTTCCACATTTCTATTATTATATTCTATTTTCAGTTGTTTGTCTCTTCAACATACACCATTTATAGTATTGTCTGTATTCTATTTTCATATGTTAGTCTCTTTGACATACCCCATTTTCTATTGTCTATATTCTATTTTCATGTTTGTCTCTTTGACATACTCCATTTCTATTGTCTAAATTATATTTTCATATATTTGTCTCTTTGACATACTCCATTTCTATTGTCTATAGTATATTTTCATATGTGTGGCTCTTTGACATACCCCATTTCTATTGTCTATTATATTTTCATATGTGTGTCTCTTTGACATACCCCATTTCTGTTGTCTATATTATATTTTCATATGTTTGTCTCTTTGACATACCCCATTTCTATTGTCTATATTCTATTTTCATATGTGTGTCTCTTTGACATACATCATTTCTATTGTCTATATTCTATTTTCATGTGTGTCTCTTTGACATACATGTGTACTGGCATTTCTATTGTCTATATTCTATTTTCATGTGTGTCTCTTTGACATGCATGTGTACTGGCATTTCTATTGTCTATATTATATTTTCCTATGATGTATGTGATATTTCTATTGCTATATCACCATACACAGATGTGTAATTGTCTACACTGCTTGCTATTACTGGTGCATGTGTATGCAGCTGCTTTTTGGAAATATCCTGTATGATTAAGAAAGACAACTAGATTGACTTTGAGCTCAATATTGTATTAATTAAAAATTAATGTTCCTTTGGTTCTGTTTCTTCACTTTTCATTTCCTGCAAGTAGAAATAAAAGAACAGAGTTTCAATGTCCACCTAGTCGCACATTTTTAGCTCATCACTTGGCGTCCGTCATCGTCGTCGTTAACTTTTTACATTTTTAACTTCTTCTAGAGAACCACTGAATGGATTGGAAACAAAATATAGCATGAATGTTCCTTATGAGGTGCTGACCAAGTGTTGTTACTTTGTTGCCGATCCATCATCCAAGATGGCCACCAGCGGGGGGCTTAGTTTAACAAAGGACCCTACGGGAAATACATACAAATGTCTTCTTTTAGAGAACCACTGAATGGAATGAAAGCAAATATAGCAATATTAAACCAAATTTGGCCTCAAACATTATTATAAGTATCTGTTATGATTTTTATCTTTTTTTATATGATTTCAAAAACCCAAGTAGAGTCATGTGAGCGACACAGGCTCTTGAGAACCTCTAGTTCATCTATCAAGGGGCAATATTTACAAAAAACAACATGTTTTTTTGTTCTCAAAAATATTTATAAATAAAAAATATGCTTGGGGGAAAAAAAGTTCTTTTTCTTGTATACTAAATATTTCAAACTGACCTTCAAGGGCATTACTATAATAGTATACTATAAGTTTAATAAAAAAAATTGAGAGCATTTACAAGGCCATTTTCCATAAATTTAATATTTCCAAGAGGCATAACTCTTTTGAAAAAATTCAATCGGCCATCATTACAACTGCCAGTTGGACATCTACACCTTACAATAATTCCATACACCAAATATAGTAAGTATAACTTATTGCTTCTAATACCTGGGATATTGACCACGAAAACTTTCTGACAGAGTAGACAGACACTAGCTATAGGACCTTGCAAGGCACCCACATACTAAGTAAATAGAAATATTCTATTACCATGATTACTATAAATAATATTAATAAGAGAGAAATTAACATTACAAAAAAACTTTAACCACAGACTGAACCTAAACTTTAGGACAGCGACGCCGCCCCTGGCAGAGTCTTGGATCACTGTCTCGCTTTCGTGAAATAAATTTGCAAGCTTGACAAAAAGCAGAACATGTATTTCAGAAATAGAAATTCTATGCAATTATTAATACTTATATGCTGTTATGGTCCTACATATTCTTGTGTGTTCAATATTTTGGCATTACACAAAGTCATGCTTTCTTAGACTGTTTGAAATAACAAATGTTTTGTTGTTACATTAATTGATTAAATCTGTTGAATGTGAATTGATAGATATTTTAGTTTGGGAAAACATAATTTTTGCATCTTTTATTATTTTGTTATTTCTTTTTTAAGTGCTTGTTGATGAGTCCAGCCCTTTCTGGCTGATTTTGACATTTGTTTCTTATGTTGGGTGCTGTCTGCCATACTGTGTGTAGTTTTATTTTTTTCATTGGTTCACATTTTTTCATCCTTATACAAGTTATAGCAATAATAGGTTACTTTATGGTATGGATTTTGATCATTGTTTATGGCTGTACAGTGACCAGCAAATGTTAACATCTTCGTCCTTTGGTTTTTTAATTGATAGTTGTCCTATTGAGAATCATACATGTACCTCATCTCCTCATACATGTTAAACATGTTATATCTATATGCTGGTTCATAAAAAATCTTAAAAGGAAATTATTCAATTGTTATATGTTTGAAAACTCTTTCATATAATGCAAAAACAATAATTGATTGATTTTCTAGCTTATTTTTATGTTCAGTGGCAAATATTTTATGTATATTCAAGAAGAGAACAACTTTTAAATATACAATTCATATTACATTGTAATATAAACAAATGCTATAATTTTTTTAACTTCTGACATCTCATGGGGGCATTGGGGGGTTCTGATCCCGGATCCCGCTTACTGTTTTGTCAGATTCCCGTATCCCGCTTACACTATGTAAGTAAGCAATTCTCATTTTTTTTGTAATTTCCCGTTTCCCGCTAGACTTCATTTCCCGTTTTCACGGCACAATAATTTGACTTTCACGTGTCACGCATACAAAAAATCGGCAATCCCGGGTCACGCTTAGACCCCAATGAGACCCACCTCATGCGTGTGTGTGTGTGTGTGGAGCAGAAGAAGGATTCCTTGATAAAATTGAGAATGGAAATGGGGAATGTGTCAAAGAGACAACAACCCGACCATAGAGCAGACAACAGCCGAAGGCCACCAAATTGATGCATACTTGACATCAGAAAGACATAAATAAACAACAGTATACATGATATACATGCTGTAACATGTACCGGTACAATTACACTTGAAAAAGTTTTAAATAGATAACATTAAATTATTTAAATTAACTGCAATTCTACAGATGAACTTACTTTGCAATTGATACCAGTTCTTTTTGCCTGACATCCGCACCTACATGTACACCAGTGATTCTAATACTGTACTTTCCTTTCATTTGGTAACCATGGTAACAAGCTAAAATTGTAAATCTTAATTTAATCCAGAAGTCCAGACAAAAACAAGATCATTTTTGTAGACGTAGTATGAACTGATGCTCACTAATTTTATTTTTACTTTTGAGTGAATGGAAACAATATGTAACAAACAAAAAGATCAACAGTGTAACTAATATTAATAATATATGTATAGCCTAAGCCCGTCTCAGTATAGTAATAACTTTTTCTAATATAAAATGATCTACTCTGCTGTCTACAGTTTAAAATAAAATGCTCCCCAGGGTGCAGCTTGATATGACCACAGAGGACGAACCCCAAACAGATGGGGCAAGTATTGACACAAAATACAAGCTTGATACAGCTCTGAATTTGGTTTGTGATTAAATATTTGACACAGCATACATGGCATAGGTTTCTGACACAGAATGAATGTGGTTTAAGAACTTAAAAATTTCAAATTAGACATTTACCTATTATGGTCCAATATCCTAAATCTAAATACATGGTTAACATTAGATTCAGCATATAAAAGAACCCCAAGAATTCAATTTTTTGATGAAATCAAACAAAGTTTAATTATGGACCCTTTTAACCTCAATGTGGACCAATTTGATAACGAAGCCCAAAAATCAAAAATCTAAATACATGGTTAGATTCAGCATATCAAAGAACCCCATATATTCAATTTTTTTTTAAACTCAAACAAAGTTAAATTTTGCACCCGATTTGGACCAACTTGAAAACTGGGCCCATAATCAAAAGTCTAAATATATGTTTAGTTTCAGCATATCAAAGAACCCTAAGAATTCAATTTTGTTAAAATCAAACTAAGTTTTATATTGGACCCTTTGGACCTTAATGTACACCAATTTGAAAACGGGACAAAAATTAAAAATCTAAATACACGGTTAGATTTGGCATATCAAAGAACCCCAAGAATTCAATTTTTTGATGAAATCAAACAAAGTTTAATTATGGACCCTTTTAACCTCAATGTGGACCAATTTGATAACGAAGCCCAAAAATCAAAAATCTAAATACATGGTTAGATTCAGCATATCAAAGAACCCCATATATTCAAT